ACGGTCTCCTCACTCCGGGGACATTATTTGGGGACGGTCTCCTCACTCCGGGGACATTATTTGGGGACGGTCTCCTCACTCCGGGGACATTATTTGGGGACGGTCTCCTCACTCCGGGGACATTATTTGGGCACGGTCTCCTCACTCCGGGGACATTATTTGGGGACGGTCTCCTCACTCCGGGGACATTATTTGGGGGCTGTCTCCTCACTCCGGGGACATTATTTGGGGGCGGTCTCCTCACTCCGGGGACATTATTTGGGGACGGTCTCCTCACTCCGGGGACAATATTTGGGCACGGTCTCCTTACTCCGGGGACATTATTTGGGGACGGTCTCCTCACTCTGGCTCCTCCCACCAGCTCCTTCTCTTCCCATGTAGAACTCTGGCTCCTCCCACCAGGTCCTTCTCTTCCCATGGAGGACCCCCTGACTCCTCCCACCAGGTCCTTCTCTTCCCATGGTGGACTCCCTGACTCCTCCCACCAGGTCCTTCTCTTCCCATGGTGGACTCCCTGACTCCTCCCACCGGGTCCTTCTCTTCCCATGTAGAAGTCTGACTCCTCCCACCAGGTCCTTCTCTTCCCATGGAGGACCCCCTGACTCCTCCCACCAGGTCCTTCTCTTCCCATGGTGGACTCCCTGACTCCTCCCACCAGGTCCTTCTCTTCCCATGGTGGACTCCCTGACTCCTCCCACCGGGTCCTTCTCTTCCCATGTAGAAGTCTGACTCCTCCCACCAGGTCCTTCTCTTCCCATGGAGGACCCCCTGACTCCTCCCACCAGGTCCTTCTCTTCCCATGGAGGACCCCCCTGACTCCTCCCACCAGGTCCTTCTCTTCCCATGGAGGACCCCCTGACTCCTCCCACCAGGTCCTTCTCTTCCCATGGTGGACTCCCTGACTCCTCCCACCAGGTCCTTCTCTTCCCATGGAGGACCCCCTGACTCCTCCCACCAGGTCCTTCTCTTTCCATGGAGGACCCCCCTGACTCCTCCCACCAGCTCCTTCTCTTCCCACTCCCGCACTCCGCAGTCCCTCTGTCATGTCACACCGCTCCTCCTCCGGGCCCCAGGGGACCCCGTCACTGTCCCACGCTCCTGGTACCAACCTGGCTGCCAATGGAGTATGCTGAGACTTGTAGTTCCACAGACTCAGCTGAAGAGACTC